GAGCATTGCCTCAGAAAACAGCAACCGCTTGGCGAAGGCACAGAAATGTTAGGTCAGACCACTGGTGAAATTCCTCGTTTATTGGATTGTAGGATCTATCAAAGCATCGTTTGTGTGTACGCCATATGAAGCACACATCCACTTAGTTCTCTCAAAAAAGTAGCTCTCCACTCTCACTTCTACTCATCTAAAACCTAACACAACTTAGATCTGATGTAATTGGAGTGTTCATCCACTGGCAAACTCAAACCACGGTTTACAACCACAAAATCTTTTCACTAAATTTGTGACGCCACTTGGTGGATGAACTGTAATGTGTGGTGGCAGAAACAAACACTCGAGAATGCCTCACCAGCTTGCCTCCGGAGATCTTGTCATCCGCTCTCCTCACCCACCTCCCGCACTGGGAACGCAAGACAGTCTCGCACTCTCGATTCAACTGCACCTTCCAATACCTCTTTTCCGTATTGAGCTCCTCGAGGGGGTGATGAGGTGAGGCGTCGATGGTGTAGCATTGAACTAAGCAAAACGTTGAGCCACACAATCAAGTGGACGGAATCAGAGGGAAAGAAAAATGGAGTGGTTATCACACGTCACGACGGGTAGTTTGGCAGACTGCTAAACACCAAACACGACTTCGGTGTTGCGACTTTTGTGCTGAGAGCCACATCATTGTATCCCATTTCCACTCACCTGTTTGAAGTGGTTTGTGCTGGAGGAGGAGGAGGAGGAGGTATCAGGAAGGGTGAGGAATAGTTGGTGTGTGCTTGAGCAAAGGGGAAAGGTGGTGCTCTGGTTCCGACGAGACCCCAGTTGCCATGAGGGGTCGCAATGCCAATGAGATGAGCATCGAGGTAAGCCTCCCCCTCCTCCTCATCCTCCTTCATGAAGTCGATGTCTCACACCAGATAAGTGGTGTTTGGTGTTTAACAACAACAGCATAATGAACAACTTGGCTGTATCAAACGCTTCAATAAGGAAATAAAACTTTCAACACTCTCATGCCATTCAGTTGGATAAACTTGTCATTTCCTATTCCCTTTTATTCTGGCAAGCGTTTTCATATGCACTATGCACAGCTTTTGTTAGCATGAAAGTTGCCTACCTGTTCCTGCTTGAGATAGAAAATATACTAGGCTTAAGATTAGATTCACAGCAGGAATTCATTACGGAAGCAGCTTTTCTTTCCTTATTCTCGAAAGCCAGTTAGCTAACAACGTTTCTGATGAGCAGTCTCGTTCTCCCAGTTGGGTACTAAACCGAAAAATGAGTCTTTGAACAATTCAATGGTTCAACGGTTAAGTTTTGGGTCGTTCTCGTTCCCTCAGCTGGATTTAGTTTCATTTAGACGATTTTTTTTGCCTATGTTCAACTCCAATGCAAGCACGGATAAGCGGCGGATGCATAGATACCTTCAGGTGAAGTAGTATTATTTACACAAGAGGATAGAAAAAAGGAAAGCACAGACGCTAGGAGAAAATACCGGTAGAATTATTGAAAGTAGATGTCAAGTAGTGCTCTGGTTGCTGTTGCTGCTGTTGTAGTTTTGAGTGACCTCGGAATGCTGCATGGAAGGTCTCGTGACAGACTTGAAGGAGACATTCAACGGAGCAGAACTGGCCATCCCATCGGTCGTCTGACTGAACCACTGGCCGATGACAGTGCCGAGCAGTGCAGACCACCGATGTGGTTGCTACCGTCAAAGCTGAGGAGGACTGCGCCGGTTGCGGTGGCACCGCACGTTTGTATAAATAGGCTAGTGGCAGATTGTCCTTAACTTCTTCCCTCTCCTCTGGGGTCTGTTCATCATCGTTTTCACCTAGCACACCGAGAATTTCTTCAACATTGGGACCCTATAAAGAGAGGTCTGAGAGGTAAGTAACAAAGTTTACTTGAACGAAGCATGACGAATAGGTCCATCTCTCCCACCTCCCATGACTTGTCAACATAAAACTGTACTTGTAGAATGCTGCAACATAAGATCATACCAGAGCTGTTGAAATCTTTTTGGTCTTGTGTAAACATACACATCAGCTACCAATGAGAAGCTGAAAGGACAGCAATGGGAGGTGCATCAAAGGAGATGACTTGATTCGGAAAGCTCTTCAAAGAGGTCGCTCGTTGCGCTTTCCTGGCGCCAAAATAGCTAGTAAAAGGGTAAGCCACAACTGAAATGATGGACAAGCCAGCAGACATTGTGAGAGAGACGATATTTACACAAGGAAGGAGTATGTTACCAAATCTGGATAACCAGCTTCGTCGAAAAAAAAACCTCTCCAATCCTTCAATCAAAGAACTAAACAAAAACAAAACTTGATGCGTTAAGAAGTAGCAGATTTCACAAAAAATTCAACCAATGCGGTCCAAAGTAAAATGTTCATTGTTATTCTGAACAATGTGAGCCGATGCGAATCACTGCAATGAATGCAGTTCCAAGCATATGTATAAGCTAGCGAGTTGAGTTTCAATTACAACAAAGAATAAATGCAAAAACACCCACATTGAAATGTTTCACATCCTAAACGAAAAGTCTCCTTCCACTCGATGCAGACTTCAAAGACCAAGAAATTCCCTTTCTACCATATTGCATACATGAACAGCATCATTTACATCTAGTTCAATTAGCATTCAGTCATGTGATTATTGAGGGCTAACAGCACTCTTCAACCTAAATAGTAGGAATGATGATGAGCAAAAGATGGAAAAAGTTATTGACTTCATGAAGGAGGATGAGGAGGAGGGGGAGGCTTACCTCGATGCTCATCTCATTGGCATTGCGACCCCTCATGGCAACTGGGGTCTCGTCGGAACCAGAGCACCACCTTTCCCCTTTGCTCAAGCACACACCAACTATTCCTCACCCTTCCTGATACCTCCTCCTCCTCCTCCTCCAGCACAAACCACTTCAAACAGGTGAGTGGAAATGGGATACAATGATGTGGCTCTCAGCACAAAAGTCGCAACACCGAAGTCGTGTTGACCTGAGGTAATGGTGTTTGATTAAAGCTGCAACAAAACGTCAAAGACCCTCCTCGTCACGAGTCAGTCAGTGATAGATAGGTGAACAACCTCACGTACGCAGCACGTCAAGACAACACGCGTAAGAGGAGTGGGTCGAGACGATAAATTAGCAGTCTGCCAAACTATCCGTCGTGACGTGTGATAACCACTCCATTTTTCTTTCCGTCTGGTTCCCTCCACTTGATTGTGTGGCTCAACGTTTTGCTTAGTTCAATGCTACACCATCGACGCCTCACCTCATCACCCCCTCGAGGAGCTCAATACGGAAAAGAGGTATTGGAAGGTGCAGTTGAATCGAGAGTGCGAGACTGTCTTGCGTTCCCAGTGCGGGAGGTGGGTGAGGAGAGCGGATGACAAGATCTCCGGAGGCAAGCTGGTGAGGCATTCTCGAGTGTTTGTTTCTGCCACCACACATTACAGTTCATCCACCAAGTGGCGTCACAAATTTAGTGAAAAGATTTTGTGGTTGTAAACCGTGGTTTGAGTTTGCCAGTGGATGAACACTCCAATTACATCATATCCCCGTTGTGTGAAGCGTTACAAGGTGTATTGAAAAGGAACATATCTGAAGAGAATTAACCAAATGGTTGAAAAGATCAGGCTCCTTTAATCACTTATCCAAAAAAGACACCGCCATATACACATTTCGAAGTTGAATGGCAAAAATAATGGAAACAAAGGGTCACATGAAAATCA